ACTCCGTCCTTTAGAGACACATTGTTCTCAAGGGATAGATACAAACGCTGAATAAAAAATTTATACTAAGATCAAACCTAAAACATAATCTTCAGCAGCACAATAACAAGGAGCCACCGCCTGAAATCCAAGCAAAATAAATCAGCCTGGATGGTACAAAATATGGTTTTGTTGTTCCCAAGTCAGAATAAATCAAGTAAATAACAAAATCTGGTTCGTACTCACCGGAATAATGTTGTTGGGTTGCATGATCTTCGAATTTCGTTGGACTATAAATCGTTCTCCTTTCCATCGTATTCAAACATTCCTTCGATGTATTCGTTCTCTCTTCTCTTTACGCCACTTCTCCGTTGAGGAACCATCATGAAACGCCAAACCCATCGGAATGTTCCTCGAATTCCTGCTCGGCCATTTGATTTCTTCTTCGTTCTTCCTTTCGTACTTCCAGTTTCGTGGTTGATGCATTCGTTTTCTCCTCCTTCATTCCTTTGCCAGTCGTGCTTTCCATTGCCACCTACTCCCATCCAGCCACTTCTTTGTCCTTCGCTTCTTCACCCATTGGCCCGCTGTACTTTTGACGTTCCTTCCTTGCCAATTGGCTTCTCCTACTCTTAAACTTTTGAAACTTATTTTTGTTACTTTGCTTCGGTGTGTCCAATATACTCGGGGTTTGTTGTTGCAACCTCCTCACCTTGGTTGATGACTGTTCTTCTTGTATGTTCTCAAGGGATTTGGAGACTCTTTCAGACCTTGGTTGATTTTCCATCGCACTCCAGTCGACATTCTTGGGACGATCTTCGCCTTATAGCCACCCTTCGCAGTTTGCCCTACTTTTGATAACCCAGCCTAATTGTGATGTCCACTGCTCTACGCACCAATTTCATGTTTCTTCTATTCTTCGTAGCCCTTCTTCTATTGTCTATTGCATTTGTTCCATAAGATCACTCTCTTTGGCCAAACATCTCATACCTCGAGCAATAACTCCAACACACGACCCATGGCCAGAATCGTTGCTCTGATACCAATTTGTTGTTAGTATCCTGATTACAAGAAAGTAACAAGATAACTATATTGCAATATCAAAGAGACGTTGCGTTGCAATACAAATAGCCTTTCGAGAGAACCATCATGGGATGGCTCAAGTGGTCAATGAGGGCCAATGTAAATAGCAAAGGACTTAAAAGAGAATGAGTTCAAACCATGGTGGCCACCTACCTAGGATTTAATATCCTACGAGTTTCCTTGTCAACCAAATGTAGTAGGATTAGACGGTTGGCCCGTGAATAGTTGAGGTGCGCGTAGGCTGGCCCGGACACATGGATATCAAAAAAAAAAAAAAACCTTTCGAGAGGACTATCTCTCTCCCAAGATAACTATCTTAAATTCTCACACCTTAAACTATTCTCCAAGATCCCCACCTTCTCCTCCCTACTACCTCTATTTATATCCTACTTACACTTATTTAATTACCATAATATCTCTGACTAATATACTAATAATATTCCCAAACTATCCCTAATAGGACTCTCCCAATTTATAGGACAACAATTGGAGCTCATCAACTTAGGAATCTCAAGTACCATTTGCTACATCAACTTAGGAATCTCAAGTACCATTCGCTTTTAGCAAAAGAAACTGAAAAAGAAGAAAAATCATTGGAAAATTTCAACCACTGAATTCCCGAAAGCCCTTTACTTTGATGGTGATAATTTGCAATTTAAGGGTTCATAAATTCTTATAAATTTCCTACAAATTGGCTCCTTTGGCCACTTATATTTTAGAACTTTAACATATGCATCATCATAAGCCTGTGGTTCCCATATTCCATCTATTCTGAGTGCGGACCTGGTTTCGACTAATTTCCTGATGGAAAAAATAATTTAGGTAAAAAATATCGATTCTTGTACAAAAGTGTATTTTATGATTAAAAGGTGAGACTTTCTTCTTGAAAATATTTTTTCAGGGCCCACCGCTAGCTGGGAAATATGATATGGGAGCCATCTGTACGCAAGAGCAGTCTGAGAAACTTCAAAGCCTTGTAAATGACGCCTTAGATGGGGGGGCAAAAATTGTTGCTCGTGGAACTTTTGGACATTTACCTGAAGGTGCTGTAGATCAATATTTCCCGCCTACTGTTATTGTGGATGTCAACCATACTATGAAGTTGATGCAAGAGGAGGTAGCAATATTTGACATGCTCTTTTCGGGAAATTGATTTTTGGGAAGTTCCTTTTTGTTATGTGCAATTTTTATCTAGCAATTGGAGTCCTTTTTAGAATTAAAGTCTCGGTTGATAAACATTTAGTTTTTTGTTTTTATTTTTTAAGATTAAGCTTATAAACACTACTTCCACCTACATATTTATTTGCTTTATTATCTACTTTTAAAAACGTTTTCAACGTCAAAGCCAAAATTTGAAAGCTTAGAAAAGTAATTTTTAAAAACTTGTGTTTGTTTAACAATTTAGTTAAGAATCAAATGTATTTGTAAAAATGGTGAAAAACATGAAAGCTTTAAAAAGTGGTTTTCAAAAACTTGTGTTTATTTTGAAATTTAGCTAAGAATTTAATGTATTTATAAGCATTGGGAAGAACATATAAAAGAACTTAAAAACGAAGTCGTAATCAAACCGGGCATAAGCTTTCTGTTTCCCTTTCCAATCAATGTAGTTGGTCTCAAGTAAAATCATTGTGGAATTTAACTGACCGTCTTATCTTTTGTAGCTGATTTGGTCTCTAGTCAAATAATCTAGTGAATCTTCTGGATGTAAAATTGACATAAAACTCTCGTTGCTTAACTTTCAAAATTATGCATTTGTGCTAATTTAGTGGCAGTGGCATACAGGCATTTGGACCAATCATGCCCATAATGAAATTCAGCACAGACGATGAGGTTGTGAAGCTTGCAAATGACTCTAGATTTGGGCTTGGCTGTGCTGTGTTTTCTGGCAATCAGCAGCGTGCCAAGAATATTGCTTTGCAGATACGTTCTGGAAGTGTTGCAATTAATGACTTTGCCACAAATTATTTGTGTCAGGTAAAATTCATTCTGGGATATATTACCTAACCTAATCATCTTTACGCTATATATTTAATTTTTCATTTTGTAAGTTTCTGTGTTAATCTTGTTTAGCATGAAGCTGTAAGGTATCTTCCTTTCAAGTTTTGAAATTTCAGCGAGAACAAACTGCTCTAAGGCATACAAAGGTCCAACCGTTTAAGAGGGTCGGGTGCTCTCCTTCCAAGGCTAATCCTTACAAAAGATAAAACATACCTTATCAAGCTAAACCCAAAAGCATAAATAGTACCCATACAAAAGTCCCACCGATTGATCCTACTTAGGAGGAACCTTTGCCCTTCCTAGTATAAGTATTTACTATAAGGGGGCCTCATGAAGCATGAATGCTTTAGTCTTGGTCATATGTTGGTACAGTTATCAAACACACATGTTAGACACACTGTGACACATGCATTTGTTAGACATTTATTGTACATTTGTTGGACACTTAACTGTTAATATGTTTTACCTATTTATAAATTGGTTTGAGAAATTAATTGACGTAGAAAAAATATAGGGCAAAAAACATCAAATTTTGAGAGAATATATTTTCATTTTTTAAGCATACAAGTATGTGGACATAATTGGTATTAATTTTTCTGTAGAAAATTACACTAGAATTTTAGTTCTTATATTCAAAAAGCAACTTTCAATCTCTTCTTAGGTTTTTGAGGTAGGTCTATACAATGGCTTTGCGAGTTAGTGTCACTAGTAAGTGTAAAAAGCCTAGCATCCTCTTTCAATCCCTCTTGTGGAAAAAGCCCAGCATTCTCCCTTATCTTTCTGAAATATTTTGATGGATTTTTACTTTTTCATGGTTCGTACCCCTTTTAGATGTAAGGACTCTTTGATTTTCAGTCATTACCATTTGGTGGCGTGAAAGAGAGTGGATTCGGTCGATTTGCAGGCGTTGAAGGACTACGAGCTTGTTGTCTCGTCAAAGCAGTCGTTGAGGATAGATGGTGGCCCTACATTCAGACCAAGTATCCTAAGCCTCTTACGGTGAGCTATTACAAGAATTTTTTTATTTTCAGTACTAATTTAGTTTAATCTATAAACATCTTATTGGCCCTTAAATTTCGAGCTTTGTGTTTAATGGATTCCTAATTTATTGACATTTTTTAAAATTCACGAACCTATTAGACTCAAATTGGTCCTTGAATTTAGAAAAATGTTTGATTGGTCCTTGAATTTTGGTACTTTTAGTGATAAGGTAATATTGAAATGGGTTTGTTTTGGTTTGTGGTATAGTATCCTGTTGCAGACAACGCTTTCGAGTTTCAGATGTCAATGGTTGAAGCAACGTACGGGCTTAACATATGGGATCGATTAAGAGCATTGGTGAATGTTCTAAAGATCCTGTCGGACCAAAACACTCCACCTAAAGATGACTCTCCCACTGCCGGTGCAACTAAGAGAGCTGATTGAGGTGAGGGGCCATTACCATTCCCACTTGCGCTACAACGTATTTCAGGTACTTTCAGATTTTTTTTCTTTCAAAAATATGTTTAGTGAAAATAGCATGGATAACAAATTACTTTAATGTTTCCTCATCTGTTTTCTAGAG